GGGATCAAACCTGGTATTTCACGCATTCTAGGCGAGCACACAACTAATGGGTTTATTTCTCTAATCACTCAGATAAGAAAGCTTTAGGTCAGTGTTATACTAGCTGTCAAATTGACTTGATACTTTGAGAATCTCATAGGGCTCAGGAAGTATTAAATACCCCTTTGGTGAGTGAAAGAACATAAAGGGGATCAGATCTGTAAGAATGAAGCAGAGGTATTGGGATTGGCATGGCACAGCCTTAATGCTGTTAACTAGAAAACAGTAAGTATACAGCTGGATCTACTATTGGCTCTTTACTCCTCCTTATTTATACTTATGGGGGGGAAAGAGACAGCAAAATAAAGAGTTATTCTCACCCTAGCTATGCATCCTGTAGCCACCATTAGAGGAGAAAAGAGTTGCAGACTGGAGTAGTGGGAACACACTTCTCCCATCCAAACTCCTAGGTCTAATCTTATAGATCTGACAGCTGAAGAGACTGCTAATTCCTATTTCTGCAAGTAGGTTGTCCTGTGGGAGAAGCTTTGTGCTTCTAGATATGAGACCGTACAGAGTATATGTGCATGCATGTGAACATGTGTGTGTGTGTGTGTGTGTGTGTGTGTGTGTGTGTGCATAGATACATACAAGAACAAACATGACACATGAATCATGGAAATTATGTTCTTTGCATTCTGAAGACCAAAGTGTAATTGATTTCTCTCTTTTTTAAGAGTCTACAAATTAATTTTTTCCCCCAGTGGCTTAATTCACCTTTTTAAAATTTACTTCAAAACTGGCATGGTTCCATCATGGAAGGGGAGGCTGGTGTTTCTTCCTAGTTTTGGAGAAGCTTCCAGTGCTAGAGCTACAGTAAACCTTTGAGCCTGTGCAAGTTAAAACCAAGGCTGGATTAGACAGAGATAATAAACACACCCCAGACCAGGGTTTCAGTACTAAATGTGTCCTAGCTGTTCTTGCCTCAAGCAATCCCTCACAATGATGTGTAGACAAGAACACTACACTTTTAGGGTGTAACCCCAGTTCTCTAAGCAGACCTGGCTGCATGTCAATCAAAACCAAAACTGAAAGATAGCTCTTAGGGAAATGTGCTTATTCTAGGGACACCTCACCCTATGCCAATTGATCACATTACACAGTGAACTTTACTTACCTTATTTTTAGTCTGTCTTGTTTCTGTGAAAGAGCCTTCACCTTACAAGTAGGCTATTCTGGATATATTTCAGAGAGGCCATGTGTGTGTGGCTATGTTTCATTATTTTTAAATTAAAATTTGTCATTATTCTGTCTCTTCATGGGTGGAATTCAGTAGACAACTTTGTGGAGTAGGTTCTCTCCTTCCACCTTTACAAACTCAGGTCTCCAGGGTTGAATAGCAAGTGCCTTTATCCTGCGAGCCATCTCTGCAGCCCTGCCATTTTCTTAAAAAAGCAAATTTATGAGCTTTTCCTTCCCTTGACTCTTATAACTAACTGATCATGTAAACATCCTGACTTGACTTCTGAGGGTTCAAGAGCTGACCGGTGGTCTAATGTAATGCAGGGCCCTCCTCAGTTACAGTCTGCTAGGCAACATCCATCAACCTTCGTTTTTAGTGCCCGTTTTTGCTTTGCCTGAGCTGCTCTAGAGTATGCAGGAATAGACTCTGTACACAAATCTGTCCAATAGTGGTGATCTATCCTTTGGAGGAAAGTATTCTTCCTTAGCAATTTCCTGTTTCTAATTGTACGTTAGCTTTGTCTCCATAAGATGTTGGGATAATTGAAAACTGAGTGTCCAGGCTTCCTCTGAAAGTGTGTGCTCTGCCTAGCTCTTCTTTTTCCCCTTTTCTTTGCTTTTAGAGAGCTGGACTCTATTCTACAGCCAGTTACCTTATTGGCTTCCAGGAAGCCTCTCCACCTTGCTGCTAAGATACCTGTCCCTCCTGGGCCCTGACCTACAACACACAGTGTACTCTCAAGCTCTCTCACAGACCAGGCCCCTAGGATATGGTAAATTGTATAACTCTCCCTTCTCTGGTTTGTTTCAGGGAAGTTGACAGGTCTGTATGGGAAACTCTGCCAAATGGTGCACCGAAAGAAACAACCACACAGTCTCCTCCAAGGTATGCGAGGTCCCTGTCATTAATCTCTGCGACACTCCTGTGTAAGAGACCATGGGCAAGTTCTCTCATGCCAGCTGTTTGCAGACGAGGAGATAGGGCAGATCAATGGGGCAGGCCTGACAAGTACAGGGTAGTGGAGAGCATGAATCTGAGGAGAGAAAAACCTAAACTCCCGAGGTTCCTGCCACTTGCAAAGCTGTTCTGGAAACGTCCAGGAGCAGGCTTGACTTCGGTGGGACTGTTTAACTTTTCAGATGGTATTCATACACAGCCATCCATGTGTTCCTCCTGCTTATCGAAGCACACCAAGCTGAATGAATTTCAGTCCCTCAAAAAAAAAAAAAAAAAAAAAAAAAAAAAAAGAGGGTCTGAAAGGTCTCAGCTACAATACTCTCTTGCAGAAGTGTTCTGGCAACATACCACAACATTTTTCCCTAGGCCAATACGGACTGTTTGCTTGTCTGGCATCTTCTTGGGGCACTTTCCCCCACAGATGCTTAGTGGAGGGGCCACGGGTGGTGGCTGACACGAGCTTAGTGCACACAGCTGACATGGTCCTGCTTCCATGTTTGGCTTTGTTTGTTGTTTGGCTTCTACATTTGAGACTGAATTTCACTCTGCAGCTCAGGCTATCCTGGTACTACTGTATAGCCCAGGCTGTCCTCAAACTCTCCTTCTGTCCCAGTAGAGGGATTACAGGTATACATAGCCATGTGTGGCTGATTTGGTCTTCTCATTATTCATTACTTTCCTTGAAAAGTGGCTTGCCTGCACCCATGGCTTAGTTAGTGCTATGGAATACAGCAGATGACTAATCTCCTACATCATGGTCTACTGCTTACAGAATGGCATCCATGATGAAACAGTAGAAATCTAAAATGAATAAAGATGAGAAAGAAAACAAACCAAGTTATCAAAACAGAGGTATTGGTAAGAAAATAAAATTTTAAACCCTTATCTGAAGCTTGGTCCTCTCCCTTCCAAGAAGGTATCTAACACCTCTCTGGTACAGTTAAAGTACATATTTTTTCATGCACTTACCAAAGTCTCGCCTGAAGAACCCAGATAACTGCTGCAAATAGGCTCCTATATATCTAGAAAGCAAAAAAAACCGAAAACTAAGTCTGCCTGGCAATGAATAATTTGTGCTAAAGATGATGCCTAGAGAACTCTCACATGTTTTATATGACTCTCTTCATCTTAATACCTGTGGAGATGTACTCCCCAAACTCCCCAGTATAAAGACAAGAAAATGTGGTTTTAGAATGTTAGCTGGGACTACCCACCTACAAACCATCACCTGAGTTTGAATCCAGGTAGCGGGAGATCCCACCGAAGTCACTCTCAATTTCCGAAGAATGTGAGCGTATCCCCCGAATGACCAGCTGAAATCACACTTGTGTCTGTGATGGAGTAGCACCACTGGATTTTACTGTCCAGGGTGCTTCATGCTCTTCATTTCTAGGAATGTTTTATAGTGGTGGGGGCAAGCCCTACCTGGCTAATGTAAAGGAGCATGGTGTGTAGGGTCATATTGTGAAGGTCAAATAAAATCATGGCCATAGAAGCCCTCTGAGGAATATAAAATATTCAACAGAGGAATAAGGCTGTCACTGCTATAAAAATGGCAGAGTATAGGTGCCATGTGTGGCATTTCTCAGCAGACCAGGCTATTATGTAACTCAAAATACCTATTTATCTAGCCAATGAGCAAACCTGTAGTTTGTGAATGAGTTATCTTCTCTGGCCCACGCTCCAGAACTGAACAGTGTTAGAGATTCCACATTTAACTTCTTGCTTTTCTGACTTATTTTTGGGCCACGACTTTCTGGATCTTGTGGTTCACGGGGAGGTGACACCTGCGATTTGCTAGTCTTCCATGCAGTGCCAGGTGACTTCACTGATCAAGGAGACACATGGACCCAGATGTCTTCAATGATTTTCCCCAAGGTATTTCCAGCTCTGATGCTGTGTGCTGCAAAGGTTAGAAAAGCAGACAAACATCTTGGCAGGCATAGGTAACCAACCAGATGGTAAACTCCCTGCTTCTTCAACACCTAGAATCAAGACAGCCCCCCGCCCTGCCCCCACCCCACTTCCCCATCCCAGCCCTGCTGCTTGGAGCTATTCTGAGGGTCTGCATTTGTGGGGAGTAGCTGTCTGTGTGTGCATGAGAGCTTCTTCAGTTTTAACAAGTGCTGCTGTCCGCGCCAAACGTCCTTCCTGCCTTTTCCTTCCTCAGTTGGCTGAGAAGCTCCTACAGGGTACCAGGGACAGTTGAAAACTCTTGGACCCCTCAGCTGAAACCTCACTTGTCCTGAACTGCACTTACCAAGAAAATCACAGCAAGGGCTGTGGACGAATGAAACGACCGAATTTCCTCCAAAAGGGGTTGGTTGAAAATTGACCACACTTTCTTGATTGGGCTATTTCACGTTTGAAAGGGCGATAAAGGAGACCCCCTGTAGCCGTTGCCCACTCTCTCATATTCTAAGAGAAAACCGGGATAGAAGAAAAGCACGTAAGAAGGCCTTTACCGGCGAAGGGCAAACATTGGCTTGACCCTTCGCTATGGAAGTTAACGGGCAACAGGAAGGAAGCTATTAAGCCCGCTCCTCTCCTCCTCTCGCCCTGGTGACAGCCAGCAACTCCTCCTCCCAGGCTGAGACCTTGGAGCAAAAAAGATGCCTGGTTGCTCCACTCTGCGCGCTTCTCCCAGTAGAGGAAGAGGGAAGACAGGAGGCGTAGCGCAGCCTGAAGCCAAGTTCAGTCTGTTTGTGACTCGAGCCTGAACGTCCAGAAGATACTTCCAGGACTCCAGCATCCTCCGGTTGGTTGCGCGAGGCAGGCACCCCCGTGACAGCTTGATTCTCCACTCCTTGCCCCAAGTTTGAGTGCAGCCCGCAGGTGGTGCAAACGCCCCAGCTCTCCGGCGTCCCCTGCTGGCGAGAGGGAAGGCGGCCGCGGCCGCGGAGCCTCTGGGCACAGCTCTGGGAGAAGAAGCTGAGAAGAAGCGGCGAGCTTCCCCGATGGTGCCACCGCCTCCTCCGTGCCGGGGAGGAGCAGCCAAGGGGCAGCTGGGCAAGAGCCTGGGGCCGCTGCTGTTACTCCTGGCACTGGGACACACGTGGACCTACCGAGAGGAGCCAGAGGACCGCGACAGGTAAGAGCCACCTGCCCCAGCGGAGGACACGCCGGGTGCGCTCGGGGCTGGCTGGCGGGGTGTAGATTGTCCCAGGTGGCGGACCCACAGGTCCCTGCAGGGCGTTTAGCTGGCCCAGGTGACTTTGATCTCTTACGGAACCGCTTCGGCGCTCCCAGATGCGGGTCGGAACGTTGGATGCCCTCCGCTCGGCTTTCTCGTCGCGCTCCGGTGTCGACTTCTTTGGCTTTTCTAGTCACTTGGGACCGGGGTCGCCCGGTTCTGGGAAGCTCTCTTGGCTCTTATCAGCCACGGAGTCCTCCCGGGACCAGTAGCAGCCGGTGCGTCTGGAGGCTAGCGCAGCGCGTACAAACCCTCCACTCTTCCTCTGCCCTTCAACGGAGTTTCCTCTCCAACTTTTTTCCCCTATAGAGAAGTGTGCTCGGAAAACAAGATCACCACGACCAAATATCCGTGTTTGAAGTCTTCTGGCGAGCTCACCACGTGCTTCAGGTAAAGCTGGGACCCTGCGGAGTCCGGAGGGACAGGCGCCACTGTCAAGCAGGGCTTTGGAGTCGCTCTATTGGAGCCCGGGCTGTGTCTGTGCCCAGGTGGGGGTGGTGTAGGGTGCTGCGCTCCTCAGTGCCAACAACTGAGTTCGTGGGCCCCGAGCAAAGCCGAGCAACTGAGTTTGCAACTAGAGTGTGCCGGAAGATCTGAGAACATATTCAGTTTAGCAAAAAACTTGCGCGGTGGAGGTTGGAATGAAAACGTTTGTGAGTTGATGAGAATGGATTGGATTGTGGTTGTAAAGTTAACGGAGAGGAATGGCTTCTTCTCATTTGCGTTTTGTTTTGAAAATACAGCCGGCAACAAGGAAACACTTGGCACTTGGCTTGCTTTTGACCTTGTGTTGGGACAGAGTGTACCACTGTCACGATCTCTGTGGGCAAAGTAGTGGCGGAGAGAATTATGGGTAGATGGGATGGTTGCCTTGAGTGAAAACAAACGTCAAGATTGTGGGTCTTTAAGAAAACATGTTCTTCGGCCCCATTGGGGGGGGGGGTTGGTGGCAGTCACGTGGGTTCTTGTTAAAATCAAGGAGGCACAGGGCCAGGAAATGTTGTTTTAAAGTGCTTCCCAGGTGATTCCCTGTGCAATCAGGAAACAAGAACAGGTGGCTCCAGTCCCCAAAGGAGAGGACCAAGGTTCACCGCTTGAAGCCTTTTGGAACTAGGAGTGACTTGGTTTTTGCATCATCTAATTCTTGACTTTTGTTCCAGTCTCACAGGATGGAGGGGGCACATATTCCCTAAATAATTACTGTTTATCTGATATTTTAAAGATGCCATGTAAGGCACTGGGTTAACACACTTACACCAGCCTGAGGAACAACTTGGGTGGTACAAAATAAAACAAATCCCAGAAATGAACTCAAAGGAGAATTTGTTTGGCCTATCCTGTGGCCAACCAGCTAATCCCAGTGCTTTCTATGCAGGAAACCTTTCTGCCATACATGCAAGGCCATACATGGGCAGGTCAGTTGGCTCACATGGAAGTATGTACCATCAGTTATATTGTGCTTTCAGATCAGCTATTGACAATGAGGATGATTGGTGTCAGCTGCGTCACCTATGTGAGCTCCTGCTCTAAATGGTTAGGAGAGCTGAACAGTAGCCTAGATGTGAGGAACATGTTTAATTGGCAGGCAGAAGCTCCAGGAGGTGCGCTGGGTGAGCAAGGTCATCTAGCTGGTGAAATGACTTGGTAGTGCTGGCTGCAGGATTGCTTGCCTGGTTCCAGTCCTGTGTTTCATCCACGTGGTCACAATATTTCCTAGGACATGTTGTTTTCCTATCACTGCTATATAAAGCTTCTAATTTAACATGGACTGTGTTCCTGAAATGGTTTGCTCATTTGTTCAGTCCCTTAAAGGTCAGACATCTCATAAATCAGTGACAGTTACAGAACGAGTGTCAGGCTTTCAGAAACCATCAGTGCCTTATTATTCTATTTGTTACGCTCCTTTTTGCCAACTTTTCCAGATTTCTTTAAGTAGTGTGGTATTTTGCTTACCCTATCTCATACAGAGGCATTAGCAATGTATCTTGGCTCATGTGTTCTCACTAGCCAGTGACCCAGTAAAACAGCCTGCTGGACCTATAGCTCTATCAAGGAAAAGCAAAGAATTTTAATCTGTATGATGGGAAGGGCTGTTTTAGCTTGAGAAAGTGATATCAGTCTCCAAGTACGCTAATAGTGTTGTTGTTGGTTTAGTTTCTTGAGACAGGGACTCATTTATAAAATTCAGTCTAGTCTCAAACTCAATCCTACTGGGATTAAGGTGTGACCCCCCCCCCCAGTACTATGCCTGGCTAGTACAGTTTATAAATTTGCTAATTTCTTTATGGAAGTTAAGAGTTCTGTGCATATTCTGTTAGCCTTATACTACTTTTTTGTTTTGTTTTGTTTTCTGTTTGTAACAGGGTCTCTCACTCTGTAGCTCAGGCTAGCCTCTGGCTTCAAACTCATACTATCCTCCTTTTCCAGCCTTTTTTGGTGTGTGTGCGCCACTGTAGCCAGATAGTTTTATAGTTAAAGTTAGTTGATAATTGCCTAATTAGTTCTTGAAGGTCAAGAATGACAGAATGCTCTGAGACCCTGGGGTGGCCCTGGAGTTCCTTTCTCTTTGGGTAGACTGCCAGTCCCTCCTGAGACTCTCTCAACTGTGTCTTAATGTGTGTTGAAGTCTGAGGAACATCACATGAAAATCAGGATCTTCAGACTCCAGATACAGTGTAAACCCTTTTGCAGGGAGGCCTCTGTGGTTGAGCAAGCAGCTTTCAGCACATTATCCTAAATGGAGAGCCACCAGCATCCCATGGGGGAAAGCACCCTCTTCTGGGGTTTCTCTCATGCTAGAAGCACTGTGGTACCTGTCAGGGAAATGGCTTCAGAGCAGGGAAAATACCACTGTCTCCCAGATGTCTACTGAATAGTTTTAACACATGAAAGGATTCAGAACTTGCTGAAGGGTTTTTTTTTTTTTTCTTTTTTCTTCAAAAGGTCATTGTTGGCATGGGGAGTAGATCTGAATATATGTAAAATGAACAGAGGTTTGAGATAACCCTGCTTCGTCACTGTGAATCATTTTTGTCCTGGACACCTGGGTGTTTTATGACTTCACCTAAGCAGCTCTTGTCTGGTTTTCAGCACTTGATGCCAGATATTAAATAACAATAGTTTGAAGACTTACTTTAGAGTTGGCACGATTCTGTGAACTTTGTTGACATTGTCTCTAATGCCTAGAGCCACCTGGAACATTTCTATTATCTCAGTTTTGTAGAGTGGGAACAAAATAATAGGAGGGGTTGAAGATGCCATGCCCAAGCTCTCTCACACACAATCACCATGATTGGAACTCAGATTTGTCTGACTTCTAAGCCCCGGACTCTTTCGTTATCTCGGAAAAACCTACTGGTTTCATGAATGTGCTAGATCCAGGGGTAGAAAAAGTAAGACAAAACTCAGATGGCTGGACATTTCAGACAGTTCAGGAGAATGCTGAGATCCACAATGACCTTGGTCATCCTTTGGAGCCATTGCCTTTGAGGTCTGTTCCGGACATTTGAATTTAAATGATCATATTATATACAGAACGGGTTCATGCATGCATAGCTTTCCTTCCTTATCTCATTCTTGGGTCCATGTCTCTAGAATTTCTGCTGCCAACATGCATGCATACTGCCAAGTACCCAAAGTTTAAACACTGCTTGCATGAGTGCCAGTGACAGCTTAATGAGTCTAAAGCTAACATTTGTCCAGCGTTATAATCAGCACAGGACATTCTCTTACCAGTAGTTAAGATAGCAGAGCCTGGGTATGATTTATCTGAAGCAGGGATTCATGACAGCCAGGGCAAACATATAAAACAGGCACAGAAAGCCATTATACCATTACCCTTCTGGAACTATCATTATCACCCTCCCCTGAGCCTCCCCACTCCTGACACAAGTTGATTTTCCCTTTTCCAAACCATGTAGTTAGACGTTTTGTTTATCTTTCTTTTATCGTGTTTTACATCAGTAAAATGGAGTGTTAAAATGTATGTATATATAGATAGATAAACAAGCCAGCTTTTATTGGGTGAGGCTTTGTCTAACAAGCATGAACCCTTTTGATTATTTGGTGAAAAGATTTACACATCTATTAAGAACTTAGAGCCCTTATAGAGGATATTCACACATAAAAGAATAAAATACAGATAGTGTTAGGGCTTGATTTTGGACAAAAGCCTTTGTAAGGGTAGCCAGTACTTAGTGGTTACAATGGGATTCAAAGCTGTGTGGTTCACACAGTACTAATGAAGGGGACAAGATAGCTAGGAATGATGTCTCAGGCAAGTGCAGACTTGACCTTGTGATTCAAGGTGGCTCTTCACCATAGTCTGTACTAGTGATCACAGTTGAGAAAGCCACCTGTGATTTTGGTCTTAGTTCCCAAGTCTCCAAACAGAGAGAAGTGATACAGATGCCTTGCTCCCCACACTCCCACCCTATCATTGCCTTCTCACTGCTCTAGCTCAAGGTGGCTCATGTTCCCATGGGAAAATTGACATAGGATGCAGGAACTTCCAATTTTGTTCAAGATAGTGCAACTATGCCACCAAACCCTGTGGGAATGTGGAGGTTCATGTGATATTTCTGCAGATGTGTTTACTTAGGACTTGTAGAGCAAGAGGGCTGCTTAATTAGGCTAACAATGAGGGATTGACTATCCTGGGCTTTTGGCTGAGGATGCTTCTGAGGGGAGGCCACAGAGAGCATTGTCCTGGCAGGTTGCCGATTTCCCATTGAGGGCTTTGGTAATGTCAGAACACAGGGTCACAAACGCTCTGCTCCTCTCTCAATCTCAGCTCAATTCTTTCATTTTTTTGACCTTGAACCAGAGCTTCTTAAGATTCAGACTTTCATTTTCTGGGTTGGTCAAGGAATCTAAGGATCACATTAACGATGTTTATTAAGTTGGCTGTGAGCATTGCAAATGATTTAGCATGTGTGATGTGCTTTGAGAAGTTCAAGATGCTGCCAGGGAAGTCCTGAGTCAACATCACTTTTCACTTCCCATCACCCCTGCACCTCAAGTGTGGCCTGGGTGGTAGGGGCACTTGCAGAAGTTGCACAGTGGTTACTCACTGACTTCTGTGAATTTTATAATTGAGATTTAAAAAATATTTTTAATTAATTCTTGCTTTCCTGTGACCAAAATGTGTGGTGTCCTCATTAATTGGGCTTGTTATCAAGTTCTGGAGGAGAACTAAGAGCAATGGTAAGAGCCTATATTGTTCTGGGGAATCCCTAGGACACACCTGACCTGACCAACAACTCTTGGGGAAGTCCCCCACATTTGGCACTGGGATTTGATTTGGTAACTATGGCATCTGGGAGAGCCCAGTGGAGAGTTTTGAACATAAACCTAGACCAGACATACCAGTGACATTTTCTCTACTGGTC